ATGGTGTTGTGAAAAGAAAACATAAACACATTCTTATTATGGTTAAAGCCTTGCTATTTCAATCTAATGTTTTTAGCATTTTTTGGGTTATGTAATACTTACTGCGATCATATAATTAACAAAATGCCAAGTAAAGTTTACATAATCAAACTCCTTTTGAACTTCTATATAATAAAGCCCATACTTATGATCATTTCTGAGTCTTTGGCAGTTTATGTTTTATTTCTACATTACAAAGGAATAGGAAGAAACTTGATCTTAAGGTTACTAAATGTATATTTCTTCATTATCCGAATGGAATTGAAGGCTATAGAGTATATGATCCCATTGTTGATAAAATCCTTACATCCAAAAATGTGATCTTTCATGAAAATGTCTTTCCCTTTCATTCAATGCAACAGAATTCACAATTGCCTAACTTTTCTTCAACACCTTATGTGCCTGATTCTAATTTTGATTTATTGTATCATGTTTCTATTTATAATCACCATGAAGAGTCAATTTCATCTCCTACATCTTCACAGCGACCTTCTATATCTTCTACTAATGTCATAACTTAAAATTTACTTTCATCATCATCACATTCAGCTTCTGATTCAACTAAAAATCTTACTAAACTTAGTACTACCTCTTTTGTTCCACTTATTCCGAATTTTGTTCCTACTTGAAAAAGTGACAAAAACAGACAATTGCTTAAGTATTTTGATGCCTACTAACTTGATTTACCATCACATTCTAACTATTTCACATTTCATCCAACTACACAGTACTTGTCTTCTCATCAATTGTCCATTGCACATAAGGCTTTTACTGCTTCTTCATTTCATATTTGTGAACCTATCTCATATTTGTGAACCCAGTTCTTACCATTAGGCAGTGCAACATACTCATTGGAGAGAGGCTATGGCTGTTAAATTACAAGTTGTAAAGGATACTGAAACATGAAGTATAATCCCTTTACATTCCAATTCTTATGCAATTGGATGTAAGTGGGTGTGTAAGGTCAAAATAAAGGTAGATGGTAGTGTTGAAAGGGTTAAAGCTCATTTGGTTGCCAAGGGATATAATCAAATAAGAGCTTTGATTATCAAGAAGCGTTTAGCCATGTTGCTAAACAAACCACAGTTAGAGTATTGTTGGCTTCAACAACTAAAGGCTGGTCTTTATCTAAGTTAGTATTAACAATGCATTTCAACATGGGGATTTGGATGAAGAAGCTTACATGGCATTACCACCTGGTTATATAGCCAAAAGGGACCATACATCTTTTACCATAATTGTTTGTAAGTTGCATAAATCTCCATATGGTCTTAAACAAGCATCTAGACAATGGAATGCCAAGTTTACTGTTGTTTTGCTTCAAGATGGTTTTAGGCATCCTTATTTCGATTATTCTCTGTTTACAATGAGCAAAGAATATGGTGGTTCATAGCTTTACGTGTCTATGTGGATGATTTTATCATTGTTGCTAATTTAGATCAATTGGCCACTAATATGAAAGAATATTTGAGTTCACGTTTTAAATTGAAAGATCTTGGTGTTGTTAAGTATTTTTTAGCCTTGAAGTCATAAAATCTCCTACAAAAATAGCCATTTTCCAAATAAAGTATACTTTAGATCTTCTTCAGGAACATGGTTTACTTGGTTCCAAAGTGTCTACCCCTATTAATTATAATCATAAGATGAGCAGAGCTTCTGATGATGAAACACTTTCTGATGCTACTCTCTATCGACAACTCATTGGAAAACTTTTGTATCTAACCTTTTCTAGGCTAGATATATATCTTACACAGTGCAGACTCTCTCTTAATTCATGGATAGGCCAAGCCATCTGCATCTTCAGGCAACTTATTGAGTCTTGAAGTATTTGAAGAACTCACTTAGACAAGGCATTTTTTTTTCTCTTTCTGTTTTAATTTACTGCTTTATGCTTTTTCAATTAACGACTAGGCTAGCTGTCATGACACATGAAGGTTAGTGATAGGTTTTTGCACCTTTATTGGTAAATATCTGATCAATTGGAAATCGAAAAAGCAAAATGTAGTTGTCATGAGCTTTGTTGTGGCAAATAGGGCTATGGCCTTCACTTATTGTGAAGTTTTATGGTTGAAATCTTTACCAGTTGATTTTGGCATTCATCATCAAAGAGCTGTTAAGCTTCATAGTGACAGCCAGTCTGCTATTCACATAAGTAAGAATCCCGTTTTGCATGAGTGTACAAAACAAATTGAAATGGATTGTCACTTCATAAGGGAGAAGGTTAATTTTGATTCAATTGAACCTATCCACGTTGCTACACGTTTTCAATTTGTAGAATTGTTTCTAAAAGCTTTGCAGCCTCAAGTTTTCACCAAACTCCTTAGCAAGATGAATGTGCACAATATCCATAGTTCATCTTAAGGGCGAGTATTAAGCAATAGAGGAAGGATAAAATGATGAAGCTTGAATGTTTAAGAGCTTCTGGTATAAAGGAAAGCTAAAGTTGAAGGTATATAAATAATAGTCAAAGTAGTACACATGTTTTATTTATATTAGTTTTAGATCTCTTACTTTTACCATTAATTAGTTACCTTAGTTACTATAATTACTCTTTTACTTTTACTAGAAGTAGTTAGTAATTAGTTAATTGGTGAAATTGCATTTTTATTGGTTGACAACTTGTATATAAATACTGTTGTAATAATTCCTCTATTTATGTGAATACACACATTCTTTCATTTTTGGTTTGCCTTCTTGATTTTTCCCTCAATGCTTCAAGGTTTTGAACGGTTTACATGAAGCTTGTGTTTTGTGTAAACTGAGGAAAGTGTTTAAGGGACGGCTAGGACTTCGATAGTTAGTGCTTTGCATATGATTTCCATTCCCCTAAAACATTTGATAAATTTGTCAAACTTGACAATTGATTTGTTCTCTTTTGTGTTTTCTTTTTTTAAAAAAGAAACAAGAAAAATGTGACATGCATAGTCATGGAATTGAAGAAGGCTTTGAAGATTGGCAATAAAGAAGAATGAAGAATCTATTGTGTATGGTTTATTGAATAAATAGTGGGTGTATTTGTTCGATAAGGTAAGATTCTATTTAGATGTTGACAAAATAGAGAAATCAAGAGAGAGAGAATTTTGAGGTTTAATATATTAATTTCTTTGTTTTTTAATTTTTTGCTATTATTTACCTTACTAATGATTTGTTTTTTAAGAGGAATTGGATTTGGGTTCGTAGATTCAAGAGTTGGTAGCCAAGTTCATGAAAAAAGTAATTCGTTTTGAGTAGAGGTGGGGAGGAAAATGTAGTGTCATTGCCTCACCTCACGCCACGTGGCATGCATGCGGTGGGTCAAAACTCATATGATGAGACACATTTTTGTGTTTTTTATTTGATGGGTAGCTTTTAAATTCTATTAACTGTGTTTAAAGTTTTGGGACAAAATGTTTATTACAATACTAATGGACTGAAGATGAATTATAAACAAAATTTAAGAAAGTTGGGATATTCTAATTTTTTTTATTATGTCAACAATTTTATTTTTTTCTTTATATATTATTTAAATTATGCCATATAATCTCTCCTAATTTTTGCATGTCAATCAATGTAGCAAAAATTTGTATTTAGTGTCCACTTGGCTCTTGCAAGTAAAGAGCTTTTGATTTAGTGATGAGAGAGAATGTCAGTGTGGCAATCATGTTGTTCTAACTTGGCTTCATTGTTATTAATATTGGTCAATATGTGACATGTATTATTCGATACAATAAGATATCAACCAAATATTACATGAATCAATTTGTTATTTGTATTTGATCAAGGATTCAAAGTATATCATTCGACATGGTACATATGTATCATATGATATGGTGCAATACATGTTGATAGTGCAATACATGTTGACCAGGTTTATGTTAAAATTTATTTTATTTTAGGTTGAAACACAAAAAACTATTTTCAGCTTTTAAGGTTTAGACTTCAAACAAAAAAATTAAAAAAAAATCAAATTCATTTTTTTATGTTTAACATGTTAAATGTTTTTTATTTTTAATTAATAAATTAACATGAAAAATATGTGAATGGTTAAAACATATATATTATGTTGAGAGTTTGGATTAAAAGTTTCAATTTATACCACATAATCGTCAATCTTATTAATTAATATAATATTTTATTTTTTCTTTATTTTACCAATATAATTTTTTATTTTTTCTTTATTTTTTCTTTAAAATTTTTTATCGTATAATATGATACTCAATACTCAGAAATAAAATTTTGATACACAAAACTTATCTCGATTTAACAATTATGAGCACTTTAAAATTCATTAATTGAATTATTTTTTCAATATTCTATTTCTCCTCAATTTTTTGATTCCTACAATAAATAAGCCTTCAACTCCCGCGAGTGCCCTCTCCAAATTACTATTTCATTACACGTTTACAAATAAATCAGTTGGTTCAACGGTGGCCGTCAGTTTAATATATCTTTTACTCAAATATTGAATACAAAGTTCTGCTTCCCCAAATAAAACAAAAAAATCAAAGGCCAGATCATCTGACACGTGGAGACAAGGAGTGCCTCGGGCCGGACGAAAGCTTTCAAGGGCCTGGTTAAAGATGCTAAAGGAACGGCCAGCAGATTACTCTATGGGACCCAGACACGTGATTGACTCAAAGGCCCAACGCTCAACTCGATTAGACTGGACTCAAATCATCTAGCGGGAAACAAGCGGGTTGGGTCCGTTTGTTTCTATCATCCATATTTTTTAATCTTTAATTAATTTCTTAAATTAGAAAATAGGATCCATTAATAATGTTCTTTTGATGGAAAACGGACATTAATAATAGGGCCCACATTTTAATGAAAGGAGTAAATAAGTGACAATGAAAAGCATTAGGCTTCCTTTTCCGAATTTAACATTTCTCGTCTTGACATAAACACGTTTATGGAAAGCGAACCAAACAGGCCTTTATATTTTACCTTAAATCCGAAATCAAACCCCAAAAGAGATTTTATATGCAATCAGGTCCTGAAAAAGCAAAGCAGCAGCAATTTCCACTTTGCGTCATTTCCTTGTAATTCACTCAAACAAACAGCCCTCCAGTTCGGGGTTTTTGAGATCCCAAGAGGAAGAAAGTGAGAATTTCAATCTAGCGTAGTATTCAAAGTCATTATTATTTGTTAATTCTTTTTCTTTGTAAGCATATTCTGATCTGATCAGGGTTCTATGGACTCAGTCTAGTCAATAAAAACTTTCCCAGAAAATTGTGCCAGTCGATATCTTACCCAGAAGCAAACAGCGTATCTCTCGGTTTTTCCGTTTGTTTCCTTGTCTTTCGACAGTGGGCAGTATCAAGCTCTCTTAGCCAGGACATCATTGCGGGGAAATTTGATAGGTAAAACTTTCATATATGGATTTCTTTTTCCTTTTCTTCTTCTTGATTCTTTTTGGACTCTATGCATGTAAGCATGTAAGCGTCAAGTGTGAATTATATACTTTGATGTTCGTTGTGTAGCTGGATAACAGTGCTGGGTGATCTACAGTAGGAATTGGTGTTTACTAAATTAATGGTTGTCTGTTTTTACCTTAAGGTTTTCTGAATTTGCTATGCTGTTGCATTAAAATATCCCAGTTGCACCAACTAGACATCTTATTGTAAGAATGTCTGGTTAATTCGTTTTTGGAAGAAATGTTGAAGTTGAAGTTGGATTTAAGCTCCTTAAATGACATGCTCAAGCTTATTGATTATTTAAGAAACGCTTGTTTATATGCTGTTTTTTCATTCCCATAGTGATATGCAGTATTATGTATTGCAGATTACTGGTGTAGCCGGAGTGGCGCTAATAGCTTTACCATCATCTACATACATCTATGTTTGGAGGTCTCGTGGCAGCTCCTATCAATAGCCCGCATTTAAGGAAGTCTGGTGGCAGAGCTATTGTCTCTCATCTTGGTACAAGAATTTTATAAGCTTTCATGACTCTTGAAGTTAAGGGCTATTATTTATTTTATTCTGCTGCCTCGACCTAATATTGTATAGAATATTTGTTAGCTGATGAACTGGGAAATGGTGTTGAGGATGGTCACTTGCATCCCATAGAGGTAAATGGTCTGAAGAGTGCAAGTACACCGATGGTTACTGTTGCAATAGCGCCATCACCTATGTTATTATGGAGATTCAAGGTTAGTTTCAATGATATTCTTGGTTCTTTTCTTTTATTTATCCATCTAGTTTCCATCTTTTTGGTCATTTCATTTGTTTAATAAATTTGAAGTGGTTAAATTCAAAGAAAAATGCATTCCACAGTTGAAAATTCACATTTTTATTATTACTTTGGTTACAAAAGGAGGAATACCTGCGTCTCCATGATATTTGTCAAAAAGTTTGTAAATTATTTAGGATTATATGCCACAATTGTAGTTATTCCTGCACATCTTTGTCTTTCTGTCCCTTCCACCACTCCCCCCCTTCTTCACCTATAATTTCTCAACTTTCTGGAATCCTAAATCTGTTTAGATATCCAGGTACTATTGTTCCTACTCTGGGCTTTCATCTGCAGTAAGGTTAGTCTTATTTTATATACTACTCATTTCAAGCTATAATTTCAGATTTGTGGTAATAGTGGTGATATCAAACAACTACGAGATTTGATCGTGTTGCTTGCAAGTTCTCATTGTGTATGTCAAAATATTGCAGATTGGTTGGCATTCTGTGATGCGAATGAGTGTCGACTTACGGGACCTATTTCTATATGAGGCATTTTTGTATTATAATCCTCTTCTTCTTGTGGTTAGTCGACTTTCTAAAGGAGAATATATTATGCTAAAGAATCCTGCATACCTTACATTCTGATAAGAAAATTTTCTTCTGGTTTGATATTTCAGACTACAATGGTATGGCTCTGGGGAATCAATTTATGGGTGTTTTCTCAGTCTAATGTCAATTATGCCAAAATTTTTGATCTTGATCAGAATCATCTTACTCATAGAGAAATATGGAAGGTAATTGAATTTGCCAACTAAATGTTAGGCTGTTAGAAGGAGACTACTTTGTGCTGATGACACTCTTGTATGCTGGTACCATTTTAGGAATAAACTATACTTGCTTGCCTTGTGTTTTATGTCTTGTTTTTCAGTAAGCAATATACAATGTGGCTGGAAACTAATGCAGTCTATTTCTGATATACTGAACTCATCTTGGTCCCAAATCTCTGCTTCTTGAATAGGATTTCAATATGTTTGACATTCGTGTAGCTAAGGTATTATTTTGAGGTAGCCATTTAATTTTCATTGTACTTTTGAAGGAATTGTTCTTTTTTTTTTGTATTTAGATTTTATCTTTAGCTTGAAATTTCTTCATAAAGTTTGATTTGCTACTGCAACTATCATTACTAATAGCACTTGGTAATTTTCCTCAAATAACTCTCACTACAATTGTTGTCTTTGCAGTGTGCTACCTGGATGACTATCATTGTTCCGACTAGTATGACAGCATATCTTTATCTTTATTCTCATGGAGAAGTGTTGTTGGCTGCCTCACAACCAGTGTAATAGATGCATCCTTTCTTATTTGTATTGTTTTATGCTCTTGCTTCCTGCATGACTAGGGAGTTGTTTATAGTTTCAACATCTTCAACATGAAAAATGAATTGCAATGCTTTCTTCAAGCTTTAATTACCGATCAACGTACCCTACAAATAAAATTGATCAACATTCTGAAGGTCATTCCCCAGTTATGGTTCCAATAAAGCATGTTCTAGAGAGATGTTCTGCACACAGTCATTCCTTTTGCATATCACTTTCAATAAAATTATCCAACCTCTTTTTTTTTTTTTTGCGGGGGGGTGTGGGGGGTGGTTTCGTGGGAGTATTGGGAAGGGGAGTTGAGAGAAACACAAACATGACTAATCTGTTGGAACAGCACTAAACTTTACATGTTTTCTGTTGCAGGTGCTTTTATATTTTGCTGTTGTGATGATTTTGATATTCCCTTTTGACATATTTTATTTTTCATCCCGTTACTACTTGCTAAGGACTCTTTGGCGGATAGTTCTTCCGTTACAGGTATGCTCTCTTGACATGTTTGATACTTTTGGTATCATCAATAATTTATCAATCTGTTGTATTCTTCTGACATTTGAAAGTTTAGGCTCAATAAACAGCTTTCATTTCTGTTAAGTTTGTCCTTTAGATTAACTTGTTAAGATATGAAAAACCTAACAAGTAAGAATATGATGGAGTTTACGTCTTATCTCTTTCCCAGAGGAAGCGATTTGTCATTTCTTGTCAAGTTTTCTGAATAATAAATTACAACATATCCAACTTTTATGGAGGTTGTTAAAGCTGATAAGCAAGTTAGAATTCATCTGTCTTGAAGTTTAATTGATCGTTATATCATGTTCTTCTCTTGATCAGAGAAAAGTTGCGTGACATATTTGAGTGTAAATCTACATGTCTGCAACTTAAACTCTTCCAAGAACTTTGCAAACATCTTGTACTTCCTTGGGTGACGATCTTTCACTAGACCTAATTTTGCAGGTCCTGATAAGGTTTAACCTATTAGTACATGATACAGCTAGAATTTTAGATGTGAACTATGGTAATCTTTGTTCAGTATGTGTATGCACACCATGAAGTAACAGTGTTATATGTTTGGCCTTAATGTTGGGCCATGCAGATCCAAACCACCATGGAAAAGAGGGTCATATTCTTTCTTCTTTTGTTTATTTCTTGCTTTGACATCATGTGGATGTGTGCGTTTAGTCTTATGTTGATACCATGAACGCAGGCAATATCTTTTTCTGACTTCTTCCTGGCTGATATTTTGACTTCGATGGCAAAGGTATGTGTTATGTTCTCCAACTTTTCTACTACATAGACCTAGACCTAGAGATGATCTAACACAGAGGAGATCAACCTATTGAAAGTTTGGTGAAATGGCACCTAATTGAGGCATGTTATGAACTAGGCTGTTTTCACTGATAATTCTTATTCATTGTCATTTTATCAATTTTTGCTGAGCAATCTTTTGAAATAGATAATTTTATTGTCTTTTCTGATAATTTTACTTAGCTTACTGAAGATATAATCGTAAAGGTTGAGGACAATGGTGCAAAATGATCCATTTAGCTACCCGCTTATAGTGAGAAAATACTTGATCTGTTTGTTATGGTTGTTGTAGTAGTTATCTTTATATGATGGCTGCACCATAGAAATTGTTTTCATACCATACAATTTTGTGCCAATATAATTAGTTCTTCAACTATAACTGTATGCATGTATGGATTAATGAATTTATAATGAGAAAATTACATGATTACTGGTGTTTAGACCTGGCAATTTGTGTTCGTGTGTTTTAACAATGTCATATAAAATAGGGTATTAACAGTAATATGGGTAAATGCAAACACAACACGATTAATAAAATGTGCCAAGATGCTAAACACATACATAGATACATTTATTAATCGTATAATATGACATGACATGCTTAACATGTTTATTACATGGGTCGGAATAAAATTTATATGACATGACATAATTTATTCCTGTTTAAATGATTAACACATTAACGTGATTAAATTAATGTACATACGAATAAAATGTAACTCCATTATGCAAATTTAATGCTAATAATTATAAAAACACATATAACAGAACAATCATATCCATCAAGCATGTGAAAAATCTCTAAATAAATCCATCAATATCAACATAAGCATAATAAAATTAGGGCTTTTTGGGGTTAGGATTTTTGGGTTTTTGTAGAAGGGAAGCCTTTTTTAGGGAAACAATCAGTGAAATAAGGCTGAAAACGAGGAAGGAAGAGAGAAATGGTCATTTCTTAGAGGATTTAAGAACATAAACAGTGAAAATGTCGGAAGAAAGGAAGGAAAATAAATGATGAAAATATGGGGAAGAGAGAAAGGAAAATAAATGGTGAAAATGTTGGGGGTGGGGAGGGTGTGGAGCTGCTGGCTAGGGCTGCGGGTGAACCGTTTGTGGGGGCTGCTGGCTAAGGCTTGGTAGTTGGTGCGTGAGCTTCAGTGTGCCACTGCAGGGCGGTGGGAAAATGTTGGGGTTGGGGAGGGTGTGGAGCTGCTGGCTAGGGCTGTGGGTGAACCGTTTGGGGGGGCTGCTGGCTAAGGCTTGGTAGTTGGTGTGTGAGCTTCAGTGTGCCACCGCAGGGCGGTGGGGCTTCCTACTAGCTAGGGCTGGGAAGTGGGAAGGTGGAAATGGGATCGAGGAAGAAGAAAGGAAAAAGTGATTTTTTTTGTTTGGAATAGATTTTGAAAATGAAAGGAAAGAAAGATTAAAATTAGTTACATTATTACCCTCATAAACTTAAAAGATACCTCTAAAATAATTGTTTAAAATTAATTTCATAAGGTTAAAATAGTCTTTTAAATACTTATATTAAACAGGCTCATAAACGGATTATACAAGTCAAATTTGTACGGGTCAATGCCATAACATGAATAACTAAATGGGTTTAAACAGGTCTTAAATAGTTTAAGCGGATTTGACACATTTAAGATATGAAATTATTGAGTCTTGAACATGTCGACACGATTAATACATGTTATGATAGGCGTAAATCCAAACCTGTTTAACTCAATATCTTCTCGTGTTGTGTCCAAAATTGCCAACTCTATTGGTGTATGGCAAGGATGGTTAGCAAAAATATTTTTATCCTGCTTCTAGATATTTGATGCTTTTTAATGTTGTGCAGGTTTTTTCTGATTTGGAGCGCTCAGTTTGTAGAATGGTCCATCGACAGGTTTGTATATAGTTTTGAACTTTGACTGATGCTTCATTCATATGAGTAGAAATTTCAGATAGGGGAGCCTTTAAAATCATGGTTATTTCTTAACCGTCACTTGACTTGAGATGGATAAAACTCTGCTTGACCTTCCTTTGGGTTTGACTTGGATAAGACTTTTATGGTTCTTTAGTTTGTTGGTTTTTTGAAGTTCAACCACCCTATCCCATCTCATCGTTGGTAGATAGCCGGCATAAACTAGCTAAATGTAGGGCACAGCTTTGATGGTTCCTAGACATACTAGTTCCAAGAGATTTATAGGAACAGTGTATTGTGATGCCGTCAGAATGATGCTCTAGTGTCCAGTAGGGTCTGAGAGAGGTGAAGAGAACAGAACGAGAAATGCATATTGAATTCTACACAGATTTTCAGCTAAATGGGAAACCTTCTGGTGCTGCAGATGGGTCCTTGGGTAGAGTTATGCTTTATCTAATGTTTTGATTTATTATGTGGCATGCTCAATGTCTGTTCAAATGGTTTTGGAATTGTGAAAGATTTGTTTTGGTTTTATGAGGCATGGAGTCAGAAAAGCTGCAAGAACCAGAATTATCATTTGCTCTTCTTTTATATATATATATTTTTTAAAAATTTGTTAAAAAACCTCAGGAAGGAAGCTTGAAAATATGGTCATTGTAGTATTTTTAGTTGGCTTGTATATTGTCTGCTAGAAATCACAAGGTTTTCCTTCTGTCTTCTTGAGAGAGATTTCCTATGCATACAGGTTGCCACTATTGCCTGGTTTGAAGCTGATTCTGTTTGTGGGAGTCACTCCATTGCAATCCCTTTAGTGCTCGTTTTGCCCTACCTTTTCCGGTTTTTCCAATGTCTTCGACAATACAAGGATTCCGGTGAAAGATCAACGCTTTTAAATGGTATGTCTCTTAGAAACTTTTCCAACATGATTGTTAAATGTTTTTCCTCTTCGACACCTGCCTTCCTCCCTGTGTCATTTTTACTTTTAGTTTTGAGTATTTGGGTGTTGAGTGGTTTGGTTGTGGGTCTTCAAGCCAACATGAATTGATATGCACTTGAACAGCATGTGCTGATTTTTGCTCCTGGTAATTGTGGGCTAGATACTGGGACTGGAAGTAGATGTTCTTTTATGCAAGTACTCGTAAATAGTCCATATGTTTCGTTGATTATTTTGGTTGTCTAGGAAGATGGAGTTAAGGAAGGTGCCAGCTAGCCTAGCTGGTAAAAGTCCTTTGGCTGTTATACAAAGGACCTGTGGTCAAATTCACCTCACTAGGGATTTTTTTTTCATTTTTGGGGGGTGGGTGTGGGGGGGGTGTGGGGTGGGTGAGGGTGGGAGGGCTGGTGTAGTGGATCGTAGGAGAGGGAGGGCTACTCCCTACCGTTTAGATCAGCCATCGGATCAAAAATATTAGATGGAATTAAATAATGAAAGTCTTGAATTTACATTTGTTTCAACCTTCAAATTTTTGTTTCCTGGCATCATCTTATCAACTAAATGATGTAAACTGAAATACAGATTCCAGAACTGCAAATATCTTCAACTATTGAAACTAATATAATATTATCAAGTTTCAGTACTGTGTTTTTATGTCAGAAAATTGTACAAGCATTTGGTTGTCATGGATTTCAATATCCCCTAAGTTTGTAGCAGTTGTAATCTTAATCATTAGTGAAATTGTATTGAAATTATAATTCCCCAACTACGGGAAAAACAGAAAGGATTTCATTTGGGCTATTTGTATTTTAGATGGTTTTGTTGCTTTAGTACCATAATAACTTGATTTTGCTTATGGTTTCAGCACTGAAATATTCGACGGCAGTGCCTGTGATTTTTCTTTCAGCCCTTAAATACCATGTCTTACCTGATAGCTGGATTAATTTTTATCGTCCTCTATGGCTTCTTTCGAGTGTTTTGAATTCATTGTATTCATTTTATTGGGATGTGACACGAGATTGGGACTTGAGGTATGTAGAAGACTCTTTAGAATTGCATAATCTGTTTGAACCATAATATAAATTATAAAATCACCTTACTGACGCAATTAATACTTTTCTCTTGCTAGTGGCTTCACTAGTATTTTCAAGTTCAATAAATCCCAACTCTGCTCTCACCTTTTACACGGAAGAATATGGGTAAGCATTCAACTCGGAGCAGTGCTTTTATGACTTATCTAATCTTTCTGGTTGAACAATTGAAGAAACCTGGTTAGTTCAACACCTGAATTGAAGCATGACTAAGAATCAACAATGGTATAACTGCTAAATTGGACAATTCATCAATAAATTGGCCAACTTTTGTACCCTTCATCTCTAAAATATAAGCAAAGTCCCTTAGAGACTTGCATCTACTTTCTATGACCATTTCAATTCACTACTGTACTTAATGAATCATTGGCACTCAGTATCTTATATGTCGTGGAATTTGCAGGTATATATTTGGGTGATAGGAAGCAACTTGATCCTGCGTTGCACATGGACATACAAACTGTCAGCTCATCTCCGTCATAACTACCTTACTGTGTTTACTATTGGTGCCTTGGAGATTTTCCGCCGTTTCCAATGGATTTTCTTCCGTGTAGAGAATGAGTGGAATAAAATGAACTCCAGGTCAAACATTCAGCCCTCCTTGAATGATCCAACCAATGAGGAAGTGAAATTACTTGCTTCAGATGGCCACAATGTATAGATCAAAGAGTGATTGTCTTTGATAACAGCTTCATGGAGGTTCATTATCATATGATTGATAACCTCCCTATTTTTGCCAAAAGAAAGCTTTGATCAGTCATTTTTGAATTATCTACATGGTCACATCAAATTTTTTTTATTCATTCATACTTACTAGGAGTAGTTGCAAGTTTTTTTTTTTTTTTTGAAAATTTTGAAAATATATCTGGAAGCTTTTTTTCGAAAATTCATTCTGCTGCTTGCATATTGGAGAATTTCCTGAGGTTGTAGTTTGTGTTTTTTGCTTATATAATTGTTAAAGGTGAAATAGTGAACTCGTGTAGGAAGAAGGTTCCAGCTCCACAACCGCCAATTTAACGAGGCGAGTGCAGTAGCATTGTCATCGCAACGCAACCACTGCTGTCCTGTCTGTCTTTGTGCTATGACAACAACCGCAGCCTGGACTGCCCAAATGTTTGCCAACTCTCCGCTTTTCAAATATCGACATAACCGGGGATACAGGCATTTCCCCATGTTAAAGATGATAGTCTTGAGCATGTCAAGAATAAGGTCCACATGATGTAAAATGCCCCCTGGTTACTTCAATAAAACCAACAAAAGGGAATTTTACAGTTTACAGGGGAAGGTCGGTGTTCAAGCCATGTCGGATAGCGACCATTACCGCATTCCAATGAATTGTAGCCATCCAAATAAAATCAATCTGCCCCTCCGCATGTGTGACCGCATTAAATCTAGCGGTTCAAAATCAGTCTGCCGCAGCCAGCCTCCGCAACTCTCATATCTCCACCATCCAAACAACCGAAAGTTCCCCACTCCCTTACTTTAACAACATCAAACCCCGTCACAAACATTTTGTGGCTTCAGATACGAACAACCAACTGACACGTGTCAAAACCCAGTTCGTCAGCACCTCCATGAACCAGATAACTCGCACACCATGGAACACAAGCAGATTCAAGTCAAACAATAGCCTCTTAACCACCCAAATGTCTCCCATTGTACTCTGCTTCACGATGGGCTAAGGGCTAAATGTTAGCCACCGGCGACTATCCCACCCACCAAATCCAAAAATCGGATCCAGCCCAGGCCGAGACGACACCACCAAGAGTCCTGACCATAATTTCCTCAGTGCTAGAAAAGCTAGTGGCCAGAAACGACAAGCTTGTTGAGGTCCTGAGCAAGCAGCTAGATGGGTTGAACTGCCATGGTAGCTCTGGTCGGCTAGGGAAAAGCTTGCATGCATTTCATGGCGTTAGGGCTCCTAATATAAGCATACCGAAGTACTTGGAGAGGATATACAAGTACACAAATTGCAGTCCTTCTTGCTTTGTGGTAGGATACGTTTACATAGACCGGCTGGCGCATAAGCATCCTGACTCCCTCGTCGTATCCTTGAATGTGCATCGATTGCTGGTTACTAGTGTCATGGTTGCTTCGAAGTTGCTTGATGATGTGTAAGTGCTCTAATTCTATTACTGTCTTTTTTGTGCAGTAAAAAACAAGAGTTATCTTCTGGTGTTGATTTATTATAGTTTTGCAACTAACAAATCCAGCATTTGTTTGTTTGAGAGATTGCCCTTTCCGAAGGTATTCTCTTTGTGTTTCTCTAACTTTTGTTCTTGTAGACCTAATGGTGGATCTATGGTCAACTTAGATTTTTTTAATTTTCCCTTCAATTGATTTTCTTTTTCTTTTGAAAGAGTTTGTAGATGGAGCTGTCCAGGTTCTGGCAAAATTGATTTAGAGTTGTTGGAGTTGTGTTTCGGAGCACAATCAACGATGCTTTTCTTACAAGACAAAATTTGCTTGTCATGCACACGTAATTTCATATAACAATATTGTCAATAATTCATATATCCACAAAAACAGCCAATATAATGCAGACCTGCTTTTGAATTCGGAATTCCCAGCATCAATCAATGCTGTGAAAAATGAAATTGGATTAGAAAAGGTAAGTGAGAGTGGATGAGTTTTGGCTCAAATGCATTGTACTTTGTACACATACGGGCCATAGCCTGCCAATCCAGTTTTGATACCCTTGCCCTGTATGCCCAACACCAATTTCCTGTTTCTCATGGAAACAAGTAGAACCCCATATATATATATATATATATATTCATGTAATATGTAACAATTGGTTTTTGTTCTTTATTTTTTTTTTTCTCATTCGATTGTTTCTTGTTAATGCAGGCATTATAACAATGCCGTCTATGCTCGCGTCGGAGGAGTGACCAATGCTGAGCTGAACCGGTTAGAGCTAGAACTGCTTTTCCTTTTGGATTTTGGGGTCACAGTTAGCTCCCGAGTTTTTGAGAGCTATTGCTTGCACTTGGAGAAAGAGATACTGACTGATGGTGTTGAACAGCAAATTGAAAGGGGAAGGAGCCCCGTTGCCATGGATGATGTGACTGAAATCTCAGTTGAAGACACACAAAGTTGTTCACCACCTCAAGCGGTGGACTGACTGGCCCCAAACTCCTCTCTCTTCATATCTACGCCTTACAGTAATTGAATTCATCTCTGTTGTTTTGCATTAACTCTCTTTCAACGAAGCAGGATGAATGATGGATTGTTTGAGTTATAACATCATTAAAAGCCAAAGGGAAAATGTACTATTTCAACTGGTTATATATACAAAGCCATTTATTGACACTGGAAACTGTTGTTTGCAACAGAGAGTATGTTGCTATGCTTTCTTTTTACTTTATTACCTTTATTCTGATTTGTTTCTTTTCTGTTTTATCTTTTCCATTGCTCTTCATCTTCATTTCATGACTGTTGAACTTGGACTTGGAAAAGAGTTTTGACTCTTTTCTATCCCAAAAAGAAATGCAGAATCCATCAGAGAGGGCAACAAGAATTAATTCAACCCTTTCAACCAACCTAACAAAGTAATTAATATCCGAATATTGATTCATTGTTTGATATATAATTTTTTGTTTAAAAAATAAGTTCAAACCATCCTCCAACCATATAAAAAAAAAACGAATATGGTAGTTAGATTAGTTAAAGAAACTGGAACTGGAAGTGAAAGTGAAAGACGTGAATGTAGCGTGAAGAAGAGGCTAGACCTAGACTACCCCTTCCCAGTTGGGATTAGTCATAAAAACTTGAAAGCTCTCAGCCTAATTAGATGCTTTGGTCCAGGACAAGACTAAATAGCTATTAGTATGTTGCTTTCAAAGTTGGACTTGGGGTTTAATATGTCCATTATTCTATGTCAACACCAAATACATTTTAATTTCAACATTAACCATTGCAGATCTTACAAACTCTTAAGGGCACCTAACCTTGTTCCTAAAACGCAGCGTTTTCCTCGTTAGGATAATCCCTCTTATTTTATTTTCACCCGCGTAATCAAAAAAAGCCACGTAAGCATTAAACACCTTTAAAATTTTCACCCATCAAGAAAAGCGAAAAGGGGAAAAGGGGAAAAGGGGAAAATCGAAGGCTGTCCCTTCCCAATCGGTCGTTGACGACAAAGAAGAAGGCTTTACAGAGACAAAGTGTATATGAGGAGTGATTAATTATATGGTGAGGAGCTGAGAATCTGAAAGCTTCGTCTGATACGCAACAACAAGGGCGCTTTACGCGATTAAACGGTGTGTCGTTTATTTAATTGAGTGGTTATGGCCGAACCATCGTCGTCTTTATCGTCATCCAAAGACGAGCTGATTCAGCTGATCAAGCGGCTCGGAACTTATCTCGCCCTCAAGATGTCCAATCTCTTCTCGATCTCTCTCCAGAAACTGGTTCTTTTCTTTCTCCTCTTTCTCTGATAAATTCTCCTCTCGTCTTTCTTTTTTGGCGGATCTGATGTGCCTTTCTGTTGCCTAAAAACGTTCTTTTTTCTTTTTTTTTTATTATCTATTTATATGATTTAGGTATTTATGATTATTATAGCGGAATATTAATTTAATAATTGATGTTGATATGGTGACACTAATTTTTCGGTGGGAATTTTTTTACTGGTGAAAACTATATTACTGGAGGAATTAATCTTATTGCAGCTTTAAATTCCTCATATTTAAGATGATTTCTCCTACTGGTTTACTATATGATTTATTGTTAAGGCCTGGAAACTGTGTTAATTTGTCTCAGATGCTGCTTCTTTCTTACCTAGTTGATTCTTTAGCTACACTAAAGAGCGAAATTGTTATATTGAGGGGAAGTCTATCTCAAAACTCTAGTACTGGCCTGATAAATCTCCTCTGCTATTGGTATAATTCTCCATAGCAGGTGTTTCCTGAAAAATAATGGTTGAAGAAGGCATGACCTTTTTGAGATATGGAAAAAAAATAAATTTGGGGGGTAGTCCAGGCATGTAAAACTGCACATAGTTTCAGCTGTCATTTTCCTTTTAATTTGATGGGTTTTACTTTAGGTGATGTGCAATTGTTTGTATTATGAAGCTAATATGTTATTTTGGTAGTTGAACTCAAATGTGCAATATTTTTAGTCAATGATGTTTGTAATTCTTATGACGTCTGTATTGGCATCAGGATCCACGCTCTGTTGGGGCTATTGCAGGGCTTGCTGTTGCAATAATCTTTACCTATAGGTTGATGAGATCACCTGCAGCACCTTCAAGAAGGCAACCAAAACGTCAAGCTCCAACAACTAGTAGCTCTGCTGTCAGTACCCAGTCAAATGTAACGTTGATGCCTTCTGGAATTTGCTCATCTTCAGAGGATTTAAGAGCACAAAATGTTGTTGACGAGTTCTTCCAGCCAGTAAAGGTAGGCATTTGCCTCTTTCTCAAACATTTTATATGTTTATTATTGCCTATTAGCCTGGTTTGTATGTAATTTGCATCTCCCTTGTTCTTCTTTTGCAGCCAACATTGGGGCAAATAGTCAGGCAGAAGCTGAGTGAAGGAAGAAAGGTAACTTACTTACACTCCTTAATGCAGTAAGCAGGATGTTTGGGGTTTATTTTATTTTTGACCAGTGTTTTCTGGAAGTAGGATTCTTAAATGTAGTAATGATTAAATAACCAATGCTCACAAAAAAGGTGGAAAAGTTTTACATGTAGAAATGGAATCCTTTGGAAGAATGCTGTGTAACCTTTCTTTCTTAATGTGATTGTAGGTGGCATTTAATGCTATGTTTCGTTTGAAAATTTTTGGATTATATGCTTGTAGTTAGGTAAACTAGCCTGGCTAACTGAACAGTTTTTATGAGCCTCTCATTGAACCCCTGGATCCTGTTTGAGGGGATTTCTCGTCTGAGTATTAGGTTTTATGGGAGTCTTGTTGCTGTCAATTATTTAAATGGTCCAATCACCTTATTTAATTTGTTTGCAGGATGCATTGTCAGAATAATTGCTAAAGTAGATGTCAAAATAATACCAAAATCCAGTATATTCAAGATAATATCTACTTTCAACCAATTTTTGTAAGGCAATAGTTTAAATGAATTGCTACCACTGCTTCATGCTGTTGTAAAGTGTGCACCAAGTGTATATGGCCTGGCTTGTTTACAATTGAAAGCCATTTTCCAATACTGGTCATAACTAGCTGCTATACTACTACTAGTGGCAGAGTCGGATGAAATGGTTCTGGCATTATTACTTGAGTCTGTATGTTGGAACGCAAGAGCCATTGACTATAGATAATTACCTATTCACATAAGTACCAGTAACTTCAACTGAATTTTCCCAGAAGCAACATAACCTCCTAGTTTAACTCCCAGGTTTCCATGCTTAATTTTGACTGTAACTTTTTATGTTGATATTGGTATTTAATGCTTATGCTGCTTTATACAGCCGTTGGTCAGAGCCCTTTTTTGGTCTTCCTCTAGCTTTAAATCCTTGGATGACTTATTGGTGTAGGTAACATGCCGTTTGCTTGGAGTGATCCTTGAGGAAAGCAGTCCAGAGGAGCTGCAGGTAGGGAATCTTTTCAGTGAGCTTTGTATTCTTAACTGTTATCTACAAAAAATTGATTTGCTTTGTTACATTCTGGATAGAAACAAGCAACCGTAAAGTCCTCCGTGTTGGATGTGCTATTGGAGATTACCAAATTTTGTGATCTTTATCTCATGGAGAGAGTCATTGATGATGAAAGCGAAGTAAGTGCAAACCATGTTCTGTAGTTTTAGTTCATGTATTATTGTCAATGCTATAAATTTTCCTTAAATGTACTTCATGACATGTTTGGTGTTTTAAGGTTCTGGAAGGCATATTCCTCTATACCAGCAAAACTCTGAAATCTTTTTTGCGTTGAATGTATAACATTCCTCCCTATTTGTTGCATGCTGTAGTATTTCTCTATCATCGTTGTGCTTGTATTGGTCAACTGTTGTGTTTTCTCTTATTACTAACACTATGAAGTGTTTGCAGAAAAATGTTCTTCTGGCCTTGGAAAATGCTGGGATTTTCACCTCCGGTGGTTTGGTAAAGGACAAGGTAAGTAATTGTGACAATTGTGATTGAACCTAATTTTGCTTAGATATCTCAAATTAAACGGTTTTCCAGTCAGGGGTATCATGTCTGGACTGTGAAATTTGGTGCCTGCTATAAAGCATTAAGAGTGTAAGCTGGTTGATTATCCTTTCTTTTCATATATGTAATATTTACTCTGCCTGAAATGAATCTGCAGGTTCTCTTTTGTAGCACGGAGAATGGGCGGACATCTTTTGTTCGGCAACTAGAACCAGATTGGCATATTGACACAAACCCTGAAATAGTTTCTCAGTTAGCTGTATAATTTCATTACTTGCTATAATCTTCAAGATAGTTCTTTCACAGCAGCACTTAAAATGTTCTGATATTAGATTCTAAGTCATATTGTCGTCTCAATGCTTATGATTTTGAGATTTTTTTTGTTCTTTGCAGAGGTTCATCAAATATCAGCTTCACATTTCTCCTGTCAGACCTGAAAGGACTGCAGCTAATGTCTCCACTTCTCCGTCCTTAGAACACTTCTTTGGATGCGTTTGACACTTGAACTGGTAAAAAGATGCAAATATGTTTTAAAGTTGTTCTTTACTCCCCATTGGCCTTTACGTGCCACCCTTTACAGCCCAATGTTTTCTTTCTTTTGGCACCCTTGTGCTGATGTCAGTTTTTAGGATAATGGGAGAAGAATTATTTGTTTGGAATTTGTGAAATAGGGTTCACATTTGAACTTTTTTGAACTGGAGAAACTCCATGCAAAAATATTTTGTAATTTATGTTAGTCGAAGGATATGCAATCATAACAAATAATTTTGTTGTTCCACTGAACTTTCAAAAAAAAAAAATGTGTTGCTGCACTGAGTTCGCCATGTTTTAATTTTGTACAAGGTAGTGTTGCATGAAACAGCTTTAAATGACTGGAAAACAGTACCAGTGGCACTGGCTAAATTGATAATTACGGAAATGTTAAATGATAATCCCGTAAAGTTTGTTTTTGGGTGGAGGGGCGTTCGGACAGCTCCTGTGCTTTGTGAGAATTACTTAGCACCCGTTGATATATGGCCTTTGATCTGAAGCGATGAGATAAAAGAATTCAACCTAACTGTTTCTTTTGTGAATTGTTCTTGGTCTTGGAATAGTTCCAAAATGATTCTGATTATTTGTTTAATCGATTGATTTGGATGAGTTGGTGACACGCAATAAGATTCTAAAATTGGCGAACGCGATATTTGAAGGCCATGCTTTTTCTTGGCATAACTCCCATTATTGGGAAATACTGAAACTGCAAAATTCAGTACGACAGACTTAGCATATTGCCAAATGCTAATAACTATAAAATTTAAGAAATTCGCAACTACGACAATTAGGAGAGCATTCTGGCCACTCTAGGTACGATGCATTCTTTTCGATCAAATCTTCAATAGATAGATTGTTTAGTTATAGTTAATCAAATCAAAAGAAAAAAAATATGTCAGATATCACAATAAAAGTCATGCATATTTTAAAGTAATCAAACCCTGGGTCAGATAAATGTGGACCAGTATTAATTTATTCAAGTTTAGAATAGATTTGATTTAAATCTGAAAATTTAATTCATTAATTGATGTATGATTTTTGCTTAAAAAGATTTAAAATTCTCATTACCTTAATTAAAAAAAATAAATCGAATTTATTTATTTAAAAAAAGAGCTTGAAAATTGGAAAAAAAAAAAAGTAATAAGACCACAGTAGTCACGCACTTGACTCCGTGGCGCCGTCAAAAATATAAAACCGACCCTGGGTTGAATCCTCTGCTTCTTTTAGTTGTTACAAGTTGAGGTAGCAGTCGGCAGTTGCAGAGCAATGGAATCCATTTGCCCAATCGATCAACGCTGCTCTCATCAAATCTCCGCTCTTCTCCAGCCTCCCTCTCCTCTCCATGTTCAGGCAGGCACTTTCTCTTCCCTTTTTCCTTTTTCCTTCTTCTCTTCTGACTTACTCAGCCCTTTTGAAAAAAAAACCATTTTCGTTTGTGTGCCTTATGAAACGCAGGAGTATTTCGAGCAGCTTATTTCAAAACGGCAATGCCATGGCATCAAAGTGAAACAAGACGGCGTATTTGGAAAAGGTACAAATTTTTATTATATCATTTTTCCATTAATTAGTACATTTTGTGAACGTATGAAGTCATAATGGAGTAATTTGTTCCGTAGGTGTATTTGCTGAAACGGACTTTGAAGAGGAACAACTTATCTTAAAGGATCAAATGCTTGTCGGGGCTCAGCATCCTTCAAACAAGGTCATTTTAATATATTACTTACATTTCTTTTTGAAGAAATTCCTGTTTGATGGCGTACCATTCTTTCTCTTTTCCAATTTGCAGATTGACTGTTTAGTTTGCGGTTATTGTTTCAAATTCATCGGGTCAATAGAGCAACAAATCGGTCGGAAACTGTATTTGAAAACTCTAGGAGTTTCTCCACATTATGGATGTGAAAACGATTCATCTGATGAAGACCAAGACAATCATTACGTTAAAAATCACCATAATCCAGAAAATGGAGCTTCCAGCAGTTCCACTAGTACTAATCCTTTGCCTAAAATGGCCCTGCAATCGTTAATGAATGGTGAATTGTCATTGCCTTACTCGAGCAGGTTTCCCTTGCCTTCTGTTGTTTCATGCCCCGGAGGATGCGAAGAAGCTTTTTATTGTAGGTAAGGGAAAGTTGCCTTTTTTCTTTTTTCTTTTTTTTTATCAGTAACATTTTTAATTTTTAATAGATAATTTTTTTTTTTTAAATGATGTAGCAAATCGTGTGCGGAGGCTGATTGGGAGTCGTTTCATTCTTTACTTTGCACTGGGGAGAAATCGGAATCCCTCTCCAGAGAGGCACTTTTAAAATTCATACAGCATGCCAATGGTAAATCTTTGACACTCTATGTTATTAATGCTAAGATAATTATGTTTTGTTCCTTATGAACTTTCCATTTCTTTATGTTATTTGTTACCTTGATTCCCCATGATCCTGTCTATAACTTGTTTTCTTCTTTTTAACTTTCTCAGAAACAAATGACATTTTCCTCCTTGCTGCCAAGGTACTACTGCTGTTAACTTTTCCATTTTATCTTTAGGTTTTGGTATGCATCATTCATACATCATACATTTCTGTCATTGGAGTACCAAGTAGGGTGGTTAACATGTTCACTTTATCTTGAGCATCTTTGGAAAAATTTCCTTGGCTTCCATTTTCAGGCAATTTCTTTCACCATTTTAAGGTATCGGAAGGTGAAAGCCTCTCATCTAAGAAAACAGGAGAATACTGCACCAAGTATCTTAGGAACTTCTGATCTATCGTTACTTTTGGAGACATGGAAGCCAATATCAATTGGACATAAGAGAAGGTAACTATCTTTGGCATCATGTACCTATATAATGCCTAGGAACAACTTCCTACCAATTTGGTAACTTGGATTTATAACATCGGGACTAAGCATCTCCACAGGGAGGTTTTTGTATTTGGAGCGTGATTCATTTCTCTCCAATGAATATATGTTAACTCTAGAGCTTTATACATGTCATGTCAGCGTCACACAACACATTCTGATGTTTGGCCTGTTGCCCATTATTTCAATATCTCGATTCGTTGTATTTTTTTCTACAGAAACAAGGATTGGTGTATGGATTGCAATGCATTTTAATACTTTGTACGTAAAGAGGATCACTGACTTTTTCTGCCCCATAGGTGGTGGGACTGTATTGCATTGCCAGGTGACATTGATGGATCTGATGAAGCCGCATTTAGGATGCAGATAAGGGAGCTTGCATTCGTGGTAAGATTTCCTTTTATAGTTGTGCATGAAATGTGAGAAGAAAAGGCAGATTTAGTAGTCTTTCTAATTATTTGTGCTCTTTAAAGTCATATCTTGACAGGTTATTTTGAACATTTTCAGTCACTTCAATTCCTCAAGGAAGCTATTTTTGACAAGGAATGTGAGCCATGTATCCTGTCTATGTGCATCAATGCAATCGCTATAGTTATTTCCTAAGTAATGTTGCTCTTACATAAAGTTTATAAAATCAAGTCCTTAACCCTACCAAGTATTCTCCCTTGATATCTATGGGCATATTATTGGCATGTTCGAGCTCAATAATCTGTAAGTTCCATATCACCTGTTTCACTTTTTTTTGTTGCAGAGTTTGTGCATAGTAATAGTATAGCAGTGGTCGTGTGGTGTAGCCTTGGAAGTAAACTTGCATTTATGCTTCATAACATGGATTATGTTGCATGTTAATTATATTTCTTATTTGCTTGAGGCTTTTAAGTAATGATTTGGAGTTCCATCTGTAACAGTGATCTGGTTGTAGCATCTCCAGTGGAGGATTATTTTTTGTACATTGATGATCTTACATATCCTGAGAAGGTTAGAACACTTGCCCTTGTATTTCAAAGTAATAATTTTCTGTGCAATATAAATTTCTGGTGCCATTTCCTGTCTCATTCATGGCAGAAAGAAGCTGAGAGAATTACACAACCATATCTAGATGCTCTTGGTGATGACTATTCCGTTTGTTGCCAAGGTATAATTTATATGGGCAGAATTTGTTTTTTCGTTTTACTATTTAAATACTAGCAGAATACGCTAGCATACTAGTACAGCTGAAGTGGGTGTCCCTCATAAGATACTGAATAATGCTGCTGATTTCTTATGCTTCCTGTTATGTTGTTGGTGTCCCTTTTAGCTCAATTCTATTGTTCGTTGATGCATGCAAGTAATTCTTTATCAGAGAATGTTTATACCTGCCTATCGGTAGAAATTTCTGCATCTTACATATTATTTTTTTACACCATCTGTATATAATTATGTAGTGGTTAATTGTTTACTTCTGAAATTTTCTTTAGGTACTGCATTCTTTCCTTTGCAGAGTTGCATGAACCATTCTTGTTGTCCTAATGCAAAAGCATTCAAAAGAGAGGAGGTACGTTCATCTTATAATAATATATAGAAAAATCTACAGTGGTTGTTCTGGTTGTTAGTGAACATGTAGATTTAGTTTATTCATTCTTTACACAGACACATGTAGGTTTGTGTTTCTTTTTTGTACGAAATTGCTTCATTCATTGGACCCTTTATCTTTGTTTATATTTCCAATTTCAGGATAGAGACGGCCAAGCAACAATTATTGCACTCAGGCCTATTTGCAAGGGAGAAGAGGTATATTCCTTTCTCAGTTTGTTAATTAAGAGTTACCTTAATTTCAAAAAAAAAAAATATTAAGAGTTAGCTGTAAAATTTTAATGAGAACAAAAATGGCATGAATGGCATTTTCAGGTGACCATTTCATACATAGACGAGGACCTTCCATTTGAAGAGAGACAAGCAGTACTTGCAGATTATGGTTTTAGGTGCAGGTGCACCAGGTGTTTGGAGGAAGAACCCTAGTCATCACATTGACAAAATGCCAATGAAGTGGCTGTTTTATAGCATTACATAACGAAGGCTATAAGCATGGCTATGAGAAATATTCAGTACAAGAAGCCATTGTGGGAGCTGGTCCTCTTTAGATTGATGTCATTAGAATGGGAGATGCTCAGAGATCAACTAAAGCTGTATTTTAAAACCAGTTTTCCACTGTTTCTTTTAATTAATTTTAATGTAACAGGAAAGTACCAAAGGTAGTAGGCCGGCTGTATCTTGATTTTTCTTGTTCTGTCCATTGATTCTTCTGCGTGTAGTGAAGCCAAGACACTTAAAAACTTCTTCCTTACATGGCGGCCCTAATGGTTGGAAAGGTTTAGGTTGGATTTTTGGAGGAAGTAATTCTTTGAGAATGTATGTCAAACAGTGATTGTAGATATAGCAAGTAGAAAAGCGCATTCACCTTAATTCATTTTTGGTCTATTAGTATTAAAACTAGACATTCTATCACTACTGAACATCAAGATCACGATATAAACAAAAAAAAATCAGTATCACGACTGAAACCACTAACATTGGGTTCAATCTCAAAAAATTATTAGAATGGTTCCAATATTACATTTTCAACAAGCAACCACAAACATGAAAGTACCGAAGGTACTAGGCTAGGCTGTGTCTTGATTTTTCCTCTTTTGTCCATTGATTCTTGAGTGCATGAAGCCGAGGAACTGTGAACTTTCTCCTTACATAGCATAGCGGCCTTAGTGGTTGATGCTGAATGGTTTAGAATAGTTTTTTGGAATTGTGTGGAGGAAGTAATTTATTCTTTGAGAATGTGTATGTCAACAGTGATTGCAGATACAGTCAGTAGAAGAGCGCAAGCAGACAAGAAAAACAAAATAGAGATCAGGTTTAAAAGAATGATCCCTTCTCTAGCGTTCTCTTTGTATCAATTATGCTTGTTCACTTAATGGACACAGACGAAGAACAATTATTATGGAAAAACTTTACATTTTCGAAGTTCTTTCCAAGCAAGGGCAGACCAGTGCCTATCCCATGCCTAGCTAGCTTGGAAGGATAATACATTCAACTTTCACCCAGATAAGCATCCGTATCCCTATGAAAACTTTATTGAAATTGAAGAGAAAAAAAATCAAATTAAGATCTTTAAGGAATAATGGTATATAAAAATGTAACACAGATTCCTTCAAAGTACATGGATGCATTGATCAGAGACCCTTTATCTACGTAGCACTAGCCCTTGGATTTTCCAGATGAGCGATAGGCGTAGGTGATGTAAGCCCCAAGTGCTACAATCACCAAAACAGAGACCCCTATATTAATCAGCATCTGCCTGTCTTCGTAATCCTCCGTGGCAAGCCTCTTTACGCTCTTCATTAGTGTGTCCATACCTTTCATTTCCTTGGCTTTTGCCATGAAGCTACCACCCTCCTTGGCCTTCCCTTCCACCACACCAGCGCCTTTGTTATCTTTCTTCTTTTTCTCCGGAAGCTTCGGAATATGGCTTCCGGACATGGCAGAATCTTTCTTTTCTTTGGCCACGGTCCCTAACCCAACTTTACTTTCCCCCGTTTTCTCAACGATTTCAGCTGTAGAGCCTGCAGCACTCTTTTCTTCGGGCTGCTTTGTGGTAGTTGCAGTCGGAGCAACTTTCTTTTGTGTTTCTTCTTGTTGCTTTGAAGGCTGCAAAGCATCAACCTTCTTCCCATTAGCCTGTCTTTCACCCAGAGTGGATGGACTCGGAGCAGCTCTTGAAGGAGTAATTTTAGTGCCCTTAGGTGTTTTAGGCTCGGTTATGGCTTTTTGAGGGGTTTGGGGAGGCGGTAATTTTTCGTCTCTTGGTTTTTCAAAACCAGATGTTGAAGGTGAAGCAGGTTTGGGAGCAGTAGTTTCTTTTGGGTGCTTCATGGCCTTTTGGTCCCTGGTGGCCTTTGGAGGTGTAGTTTCGTTGGTGGGTTTTGCATCGTCTACTGAACTGGGTTGAGTAATTGTCTGCTTTGGCATTGTGATGGTAAGAACGCCATTCCGAAAACTACCTTGAATTTTACCTACGACACAGTTTTGTGGAACAGGCAAAGATTGGTTGACACGACTTCGTTTGTTCTTCTCGAGTGATCGTTCTCCCTGCAATTTGATCGTACGGGAGGAGTCAACATAGGTGACGACAATTTGCTCCTTCTCAAAACCTGTAAAATGGAAAACAAAGACAAATAAATCACACCGGAAAGCTTGTTTCCCTGTAAAAATTACTCAATACAAAATAACATGTTTCAGAGAACAAACCTGGAAGATGAACAAGTAGAATATTTGCTCCTTGCTCTTCCTTCTGTTCCCATATGGGTTGGAAATCCTCATAAACAGTAGCAGATACGTTAGTTCGTGTTCTCCCAGCCATTTTGTCTCTAGCTTGTTCGGTTTGTTTACTACGTAGGAACTGATGCTTTGGGATTTTCGAATTGATGCCTTTGGATGGAAATGTGATTCTTCGCGTACGATTTCTACATATTTATATGGCATAACAGCACCATTTTTCTTAATCGCCACAGTATTCTTTGTCGACCGCTTTGGTTTTGTGGTGTTATAAGGGCTTCAATTTCCTCTGACATAGTCTTAAGTGTTACTTGTTTTATAAATAACGTACAAGTTCTTTGTTTGCCCTAAAATTAATACTAGGAATCATGCCGACTCCACCCAATTCCTTAACAGCTCAAGTTATTTGATTTTAAATTCTATCAAGCTCATGCCTTCCCATGAAATTGGATAAAAGAACAAAAGAAAAAGCAAAAGCAAAAGCAAATCGCAGCTTTAACATAATTCAGAGACATATATATACACATTGACATCGGAACTCGAAAATATCTGGTTCCACCGAGTCTGAAGTGAACCTAATAGGAAAGATACCAGCCAGCAATATAGTATAAATCTACAGCAACCACTTCATATATCAAAGGATATCCACATGCACCATTGCTTCCTCCAGTCCCTCGTCAACATCTACATTCTGATCTTTATCCTCATACTGCATGTCACAGGCATCCAAGAATAAAAAATAAAAAACAACAATAACAATAACTCGAGGTTCTTAATGAGAACAAATATCAAGAGTGACACTATCAGATTAAGGCTTAAAGCAGAATTCCTGTACTCCAGTTAACATGGAACTTTGCAGAAAATGGGGGTTAAAATTGTCAATTACCCAAAAAAAAAAATGAGGAAGATTATGATAACAAGAGTAAAATATTAAGCAAGTGGTGTATAATCCATTGGCAACATAGGCTATGCGCAATAAAATTTAACTCACCTCTGAAAAACTATTTTGGAGGATTGGTGGAGGCAGGGGAAGTAAAAATGGCAAACCTGAGACCTCGACGTTCTCCTCCTCGTCAATTTCCAATGCTTCATCATCATCAGCTGCATTAGCAGCCATGCCTGTTAAAGGCAATGAAAGACCAGCATGTGCACTCTTCAACTGCAAAATTACATTGCAAAGGGTCAAAACTCTTTACTTAAATAGGTTCCTATCAGTGCCCCCCTCCCTGCATTCATCCACATGCATAAGCAGGAGCATTTGCATACACATGTTGTAATGTAAAAATAGGGTGCAGTTCCTTCATTATGCAATTTTCTACTTGGTCTGACAGACAGATTAGAGCAAAATAATTGGTTTCAGAAATAGATGAAGTTCCCAAAGATTCTAGGCAAAATGCTAATCCTTCTCAAGAGGGAAAACGTGGAGTTCTAAGAATGAGAGATATTCACACTGATTTATCTTGTAAGAGAACAGTAAAATTATTCCAGCCAAAAATTTATTGTTACGAATTAAATGCAACCAACAAGTTAATAGCTAAATTTGAATGTGTCTTCCTCTCTTTTAGCAGTTTTTTGCACTCTTATCCTTTATTGTTTACCATATACTTCCCCTAACAAAGGCAATATTAAATTCATAATTCAGGCATCTGTCAGACAGGTTTTAACCGTGCAGCTAAGACTGCATTTAAGCAGACACCTTGTAAGAAGATAAAAAAGGAAAAGAAACATTGTGATTATTCCCTGCCGCGTACATAGATAAATAGCTGAATAGGAGAAGAGCACCTTATCTTCAATAGATGCGCTAACTGAGACTTTCTTTCCTCTCCTCAGTTTCTCGTTACTAGCCAAGGGCACAAGACTGCTGTTTCCATTGTTCAGTGACCCATTTTCCTTGTCTATATTTGATTGAGTAGGGTGTTCACTCCATCGAGACCGCTTTCCCAATCGGGTAGTTTCTCCCCCATGCCCTTTACCTTAGATTAGAACAGCAATAATACAATAAATGGGTCAGCATAAAAGACACAATGCAAACATAATATGCTACATAAAAACAATGGGAAAATAAATTGATTTTGAAAGGTTTTGGAAAAAGCATGTAATCACTCTATAGTAAAAGATTTAGCAAAACCATCAAGGTCTACTTTAGTTTCTAAAACGTACCAAGAGTTTGGATTCAACATATTAGGAAACCAGCATCACAGAGAAAAATGAAGCAAGGCAATTTTAGGGCTCCTTTCCAATAAGTCCAAATGAGATAAAATCTCCTATAAACTTGAACAGATGTTGGAAAAGAGGCAATAGGTACATGGCTGGTAAATTTGTTGCAACAAATTCTGTAACCCAATACCACAGAATGATATATAGCTTCAACTATTGAGAGGTTAACTGATGCTTTTCTTCATACCAATAACCAATCAAGAGAAAAGGATACTCATGCAATAAATGAGTGTGAAAAAATGATTTTACACAACTGTATTAGATTGAACATTTGACTACTAACGTAATATTGAAAGAACATTGAGCTTATCAGGCATAAGTGATATTCCATCACTTTGAACAAGCTAGCACTTCAAATGCATTGCTCAAAACAACTTCAGCTTAAGAGCAAAACAGTAGTAATAGTGGACTTTTTCCTATGATTTACAGGCCATGTCATCATATAAGTCAGTTAGAGTTCTACATGCACGTGCCTTCCATAACTTCCATGAAGGATATTTACAAGGTCAGCTCACATTAATTTTCAGATAAAAATCCTATTTATATCTCAATTAACATATGAGGCCTACAGGCTATGATCAAAAGTTACAACTGCGATATACACGGAAATAATTAAGTAATACACATTGCAAGGATTAAGAAGAAATTGAATTTTTGTAGATTCTAAATTCCACACAATAATACATGCAGATATATCAAACAAAGTACCATCAGGAATGGGCTCTTCAGTGATTTCCTGGTTGGCACAGAGCCTCTTTTTGCTTGGAGAAAAATTACTCCTCATCTCATTCTGTGGATGAGACATATGATAGCCAGTAGTCTCACCATCACTTACAATGTTGATGTTGGAATTCTCTTCATTACCACTGGTTCCAGAAATATTTAAGCCAAGCTGTTCTCCCAACTTCTCCAATCGAGCTTGAGATCTACAAAATTACATAAAAAACAACTAAACGATATAATCTACCAAACCTCAACAAGCACTACTTCAAATTTCAGAATCAGAAAAATGATATGATGTGTCAATTGCTACTAAGCTAACATATCAGACTAAGACGATATTATAAAATAAAAGCTTACCTCTTCAGTTCTTCTCCTATGTGCGAGCAACGATTGTGTGCTTTGACAAACTTCTTAATTCTTGAAGTAACCCTGAATATTTAAAAGTTCATAGAAAACGGGTAAGAGAGGGATCATCCATCCACAAGGAACAGTTAAGCATAGCATGTCTCTATCATTACAGTCTTGACTTTTGATTACCTTTTACACTCCTCTTTCTCCTTTTCTAATTGAGAACGAAGCTCCTCAATTTGCGAAGTAAGAGTACCCGCTTCTTGAATTTTCTCTTCCACAAAGATCTATGGTAAATCAAGCATCAGATCACACAGCTAAAATCCATCTTTCAAACATGCCAAAGATGAAAAAAAATTATTGATTTTAGAGGGGCGAAGAAAGGCATTATTGTATCAATTAGAAGAAAAAACAGGACAGATCATCTTATGAACATCATTAAATAGCTTAGCTGTTCAACCTGACTATCTGGAGCTGGCTACTGAAATAATTAATAATCAACAAGATTGAATTACTATTCTAGTGGCCTTTTCTTGGTCATGTATGCCCTCTTCTTTTACAAAATACATCGAAGATCTATTTCTCAATAAAACAAATCAATGCCTGCAGAGAAATCTATGTAATTATGTTGATATATCAGGCTTTAACGATATTGACATGCTATAAAAAGTCCAATCTATTACTTTTCAGGAGGCCAAGGAAATGGGGGGTGTTGAGGACAACCATTTGACTAAAACAAGGCAGGGGGCAGAATGAAACAAACAAGCAAAATAAAACTTGATTATTTCAATCCTGCAGTTTCCAGATTCGAAGTACGAGCCAAACAATTTTCCACAGATGAATCATGTCCTTCACAGCACAAACAAATAAAATCTATGTTGCCAAGTTAGAGAACATAAAAGGTTAAAATTAATGAGACGAAGCTTCATTGTCACATATGAAGGTGTATGCCCATTCACATGGATGGATGCAATTGAGCATATGTGTCCACATGCTTACTAGCAAATACCCATCATGACCGCAACCAATAAGCAAAGCAGCTAGGTAAAGATTCACTTTTTTTTTCTCTTGTTAAGTAGGTAAAAATTAACTGACCTCTAATTTGTGCTTGTGACGAATAAGTGTTTTAATATCCAAGCGAACTTCTTTCAACTGCACATGGTTAAAAAAATGTAAAGAAAGGAGAGAGGGGGGGTGTCAAAAGATTGGATAGTGGGAAAACAATAAACCAAAATTAAGTTTAGACCAAAATCATTTAACCTGATCCTCAAGAATATTTTTGGGAGTAGAGGATATGTTTCTCCCTTCTATAACCAGATCTTCAATCTTGTTCGAAATTTTCAAATTTTCAGAAAAATCACTTTGTCCATCCAAGTGTTGTTTCTTCTTTCGGCTTCTGTCACTGCAAAAGGAGACCACAGCATCTTCAACTGAATTAAGTGCAAACAAGAAGACAACAACCATATAAAGGCATATGAGACATGTATAGAACTAGAAACAGATTAGCCATTATACATAGAAAACAAGTGCCAAAAGTCTAGTAGAACTAGGTACAGAGATCCGAATTTAAAATTCTTTCATTACTAAAACTCACCCTACTTCCCTTCCTTCAAATAAGGAGACAAACACTATATATGGGATGACTTGCATGCTTATTTGAATAAAAAAGACCTTGCATCTCAGTGGGCTCCATCTAACTGGCAGATGTAGTTTAACTACTCAACTCACATTTTTCTGCTTTAAGAATATTCTAGAACAATTAGAAACAAGTTCAACCAGCTATAATCACTCAGTTTATATGGCAGACATTAAGTTATGTAACATGATCCTTTTAATGCAAACACTACCAGGACAAGGAAACTCAATATAAGAGCCCCTGAAATTATAAAAATAAAAGGCAGGAGTTTAGATTAATTAATAACAGGGCTACCTATAAGAGCTAT